CTCCGCTCAGGGGACTGGGTACCCAGAGTACCAGTTTTTGAACCAAATCCAAAGTAATTTAATTTTTAGGAAGTCTGACAACATAGCAATTTAAGAAGATATGCCGTACCTTCATTCTAATTAGCACTGGTGAATTCTTTCATGTCATTATGCTACCTGGCATTTCCAAATTAGCATTTTGGTGCAAATTTCTCTGAAGGGATTTTTTTTTCCCTTGTTTTTATAAAACTGTGATTCTGAGTTACTTGAAACAAGTTTATCCTCTGCAAGATGGTTCATCCAAGCCTGTGCACAATTCTTAAGAGGAAGTAACCTGGCTGAATATCACTCACACACATTGGTCCCCTCTCTTTGGAATTCTACATATTAAAACCCCCCCCACCTTTTTTTTTTTTTTAAATGTAGGCAACACCTTTTTAACATCAATACTCAAACTTAACAGATCTTTTGAAAGCCTAAAACATGAGTCACCCCTATTTCAATTCAGATTTTTGAGTTGCATAAAACACAATGCTGGTGAAATGCCAATTTTTTTTGTATTATATTTAAATTTTTAAAACTCCCTTCCTTCTTCCAAAGAAAAGTGTTTACGCTTTTACATAGATATTGATTCCCAGACTCGCTCTCGTGCCAATTTCATTCAGTTAATTTGCATGGTAAAATTTGAAATAGCTTAAAGGAAAAACTTCCAACAGCAGCAGGGTCCAGCAGAACTCGTATCAGGACTCAAAGATCACTGTGAATGCTATCTGGTGTTTAAGAATGGTAAAATCTTAATGCCCAAGAGGCTCAATCATTAAAAGAGAAGAAATTGTTTCTCATCTGCAATAATTCAAAAATCATGGCATTCCCTGAATTAAAGGGCCCAAGATTATGACTGCTCAGGTCAACGTAAAGCTTTTCAGTAGCATCCATGAAGTTTAGAGTGAACCTATATTTCCAGGTGTAAATTAACACCATATAACAAATTCAGAATAACATAACATATATTGTGCTTAGGTCCTAAAGAGCTCACAATATTTGTACTGAAGTATCACCAGTAATATCTCAACTCTTTACTCTTCAATATTTCTTGAGAATAAAAACAAGCCTGCCAGTATTTTAATGCACATTACATTTGAGTTCACCAGAGAGAACAGACTCTATTGCACAACTGCTCAGTTCACAACTTCATGGTATTATTCTGTATTTCACTGAACATTTTCCTTACCTTATTAATTTAACCAAACATATTTCAGAGCCAGTCATGCAGACAGTTTGAAAAAAAAAAAAACCAAACAACTGCACTATTAAAATGGAAGAGGTTTAGTAGCATGACATGAAATACTATTATACTCTCAAATGTGGAACTTAAATTTTCACACCACATACAAGCAAACAGTCTTCTGTGACAATACAAGTTTCAATAGAACGTTGAGAGCCAGAATACATATAAATTTCATACATGAAGGCCATGTTAATTGTCACTAAAAATTTCAGAGCATCTCTGTTGGCAAAGCTATTTTCCAGACAATAGGCATTTGAAGATCAGTCACAATAATTAGCTCCGCTGAAACAGTAACCAACACTACAGCTCAAGCATCCAAATACAGCAAGACTGAGGAACACAGGCTACCTGTAAAACTCTTCTGCATCAATGTGCACAGACTTTTTTCAAAAGTAAAGGCAAAGGTTTTTTCATGCTTATGTCCTTCTGACGAGTGCATTGTAGTTTCTTGACACTCAAGTATCAAGTCAAACCTCTTTGCTTTTGACTGCATGCAGAGGACACTCATGGCCTGAATTTCTAGTAATGCTTTATGATACCCTGTATTTTCTAACTACATGTTCATTCCCTAAATTTTGAGGATATTCACAGTGTAATGTTAAGTGCACTAAAATGGCTTTCTAGTTAAAAAAAAAAAAATAAAAGTACTTTGCCAGTTCCAAGAAGAGGGATCACAGATGGCATCTGAACCTACCACTGTGACAGAGAAGCTGAGAGCCCTACTCAGGCTCACAGCTCCACTGCATCTGTTGAGACCACAATGTTTCATTAACCCACAAGTAGCACAGGATGCATTTTTGGCCAACCTTGTCCTTATCTCTAAAGAGACTATTTTTCCTCTTATATTTGGAGACTGTTTCCCACAAACCAAAGTCATTTCTATTTAAAGAAAAACTGCAATGTGGCAGGTATGTATGCATTGTGCCTAACTCCAAAAGGACAGCTCAAAGGTTTTAATGTCTCACATTAAATTTAGTATCAAGCAGATGATGTGGGCTACGAAATAAAGCTAAAGGTCACTGTTCCTCGGGATGGTTTCTGCACTCCCACATCTTGCATCACAGGTAAAATTGGGCATTGGTGTAACCATTGCTAAATCATTTCATGCATTGCAACAGGAGCTTTTCACTGCAAACATCTCACGGTAAAGACCAAAAGCTCAAATACCGAAGAGCCCAGTGACACAGAAAAAGTACCCTAAAGTAGTTTTAGGTATCTACAATGGAAGTTAGGAATCTGGGCAGATCCAGAAATACCATGTGGTGCTTTTCTGGGTCACAATGTACTTTTATGACTTAAAGAATATAACCTGGGAGATTTAGTGTGTGTATTAGGGAGGAACCTGCCCCAAAACTCAATGCAATAGTCATCTTTGAGAGACTTTAAATCAGGCTTTAATTGTCCAGCAAAGTGTAAATATAGTCAATAAAAAGGCACAAAACTATGAAAGTTAGAAGTCTTATTAACTACTAAATTGGTAAAAATTTTAGATCTCTATTAAAACTTTACTAAACAATTATAGGAAGACTGTGCCTTTCCCAGAGTTTCTAATAATAAACATTTACTTCCTTTGTGCAACCTGCTTCCTAGCAATATATGGGGAAAAACGCCAGCTCTCGTGGTGACAGAATCACTTACCATAATCAAATCAGTTGAAATAGTTTTGTAAAATCTGCTGCAAATATTTTAAATAAAACAAACATTAGTTCAACAACTTAAGACTACTTATTGCAGCTTTCCTTTAAGTGTTCTTGCCCTATGTAAGTTGATATTTATCTCAAAAAAAATCTTTAGCACAAGAGGCAAAAAGACATGTAACCCAGAAAAACTGGCAAGCCAAAAAATTTTTATTTTTGATTGCCATGTGATGACCGACACAGCTGCTGAGCTGCAATCTTAACATATTAAAGCAAAGCTAGCCAATTATCTTAAGGATGTATTTATTAGACTATCACCATCTAATGGGATTTGACAGCACTGGTAGGAGTTCATATAGGCTTAAAAGGAAAGGATCTGAAAATTCCAGAATTCAAGGATAGTCCTTCCTCCAATTTACCATTTCTACGCTTTGTTGGTGTGCAAAAGTGCACTGAAACCTCAGAACAAATTTTAAAATCTGCCCGTCTTGTTAACATACTGCAGTCTTCAAATTTACACAGAGCTGCAGTTCTCTTGTTTTTTCTTAAGTGTCACTCATCTAATTTACAATGACAGATGAGAAACAATGTCAGATGCATTACAGTTCAGTTTAAAAAACATCCTCTACCTGCTATCTCTGCAGTGATTGTCTTGCTGCTCCCTGAAACCTCTTCGTCATCACCTGATGAACTCGTGCTGGAGTCACGCGTCAGGTCACTATCACTGGTACTGCTGTCCTGCAGCAGGTTGTACCTCTTGCGAGCAGCCGCCTCCCGTTTCTGTCTTAACAGCCGGATCCTTTCTTTGTGCTTTTGACTTCGATGACCCTTTACCTTGGTCACTCGACCGTTCTGCTTATCACTAGACTGTCGGTTTTTCTTGGCAGCCATTGTTGAAGTTTCACTTTCAGACCTGGATCGCCTGGATTTCCTCCCAACTGCGGCCCCAGACACCGCAGAAGGGTCTCCCTCTACTGCAGCTTCAGCTTGACAGGGCTCAGTGTCCTCTGCGGAAGACAACGTATCTGAGTCAGCCAAGTGCCCACTGGAAGAAGGGGAAAGCATGCAATGATTAGAAGAGTCACTCTCACAAACTCGACCACCCACTGGATTATTGCTCTCTGTAGATGCTAGCTGAGACTCCGATGAGTCTCGCCTCAGTTCCATCAGTAAGCAAGGCATCGACGAAAGCACCGCAAAGTCTGCTGCAGCAGGCATGGGGGCTTTCCGAGTTGGCATCTCCAGTTCTATAGGTCTGTCTTCATCAGGAGCAGTCTCTTGCTTTTCAGAAGTCTTTGGTGGAACTTCCAAATCAACAAGGTCTTCTGCTTTTCCTACCACCTCCATCTTCATTTCAGAACATCAAGGTCTCCTGGTCTCAGAGCATGGAGCACACGGTCTGGAAGACTGGGTGAACTAATTACAGACTTCAGCAATACAGCAGCCTGCACAAGAACAGAGCAGTAAGAATAATTTATGCAAATAATCCACTCAATCCTGCTCTTCATAGTATTACCTAATCAACTTGTTTCTTCAATTACAGACAGTATGGTTTCGTATTGTACTGGTTTTCTTTATTTACTTTTTCCTGATACCAATTTTACCAACTGATACCAAGTGCTTTCTGCACTTCCCAGCTGCTACCTTTTGGACTGGTTCATCTCCTCCCCAAGATACCATACGTTCTTTTTTATTTTCTTTTAAGTGTCACACATACACACTTAAGACAACAGAAGTGTGACCAGTGCTGAATTTAACTCAAGACAGTTGACTCAGCTCTCTGTGAATGTGATGTGCATGATGCTGGAGAGCAGATTTTTCATAACACTAAGCCACCCCCACATGGATACTGTGTAATTTATATAGTGTTCCTTTGAAAAGGCTGCCCTAAAGCTGACTCACTGGCATACAATTCCACCTAAGGCACATTTCTGGGAGTGGAACTGGCTTTCTATCAGATGATTCATATATCAGGCCTGGTAGCAATCTAAAAGAATAAGACCTTGGTAAGAGAATGGCAGTGCAAAACAAAAGAAGAAAGGATTAAACTGATGCTGATGGGTTTCAACTGGTTTCGCATAAACAAACGAAGGTTAAAAATAGGCTGCTCCTACTGAGTGCTCAACAGGCTGCATACACAAATTATCCAAGTCTGAATAAAAATTACAAGTATACATGTTAAAACAAAGGTTCACGGAGTATCCTTTGCAACTTTGAAAAACAACACTTTTCATTGTAAATAAGATGACTTTACATTTAAATACAGGTTTTTGCATTGTAATGCTTAATGTACATATTCTGCCTCTCAAATGAAAGTTAACTACCAGCTGTGGGTTACTTCACAAGCCTGCACACAGGCTTCCAGAAACATTCACCAGCTGCACTGGAACTCCACCAAAAAAAACTACCAGGGTTGGCTACACTTATCCTAAAAATCTCATTTCTTTCTCATAGCAAAACCATTTTTCTCAAGTATGTAGCGATTTAAAGTCTAAAATGCTCTCTACTTTAAAAATTAGAGGGGCCATATTTTTATTACTATCTGTTCCTAAAAAATTAAACCACTCATTCTTAGATTTTTCATTATTCTTTCAACAAAACCAGTGGCAGAAATCAGGTCTAGGATGGCCATGCTTCATTTCTTTTTCTCTCTGCCACTTATTAGCTTGCAGAAAATTCCCCTACTGACGATAGTCAAATGGATGTACCGCCTTTTTCTAAGATTTTGAGTTTAACAAATTTTCCCACTTTACCTACCCATTTCTGTTACTCAGAAGAAATGTATTCTGTACTTTCTTCACTGGTTCATGCCATTCTATACAAACAGACTTCTCAAGAAATGTTGGTCTACTGTGGTCAATAAAGTGACACTCACGGAAAAGCCACATTTTAAATTGCTTGAGCATAACAGTAACAAATTAATCCTGATTTCAGAGCCTAAATTTTCTCTTTCTATTAAGAGCATTTATCTGAAATATCCTCAAAGTAATTGTGAGAAATTGTGTGTGGGAAGTAATTT